GATTGAGAGCTTTAAGACCAAACTGGAAACCCATCTATTAGAACAAATTAGGGCGTAACCGTTTTTCGCTATCATAATGGATATAACACAAAACATATCGAAGGTAGATCAGCATTGTTGTAAGGTATGCAGTATTATTCAGATCGGAAAATCAACAGCCAATTAATATAGAAGTAAAGTGTTTCTAGGCTTTTATGCAATTATCAAACATGGTGCAGCAGACTAATCGGTGATAATTGAAAGAAAGAATAAATGTTTCTAAAGAAATTACTAACGCAGATCTAGTTTCCACAAGAAAAGTTTTGGAACATTTTAAATCAACTTTGGCAGAAAAAATATAAAAGTTGCTATTATAGTTAATAAGATAAGGAAATTGAAAAGAAAGTCTTCTCAGATCAATATTGTTCCACACAGACAGCCCAACGAAGACTTAATTCTCCAATTAAGCAATATAAGACCGCTAAGTCCATTTAAGTCTGCAGAAAGTCTGTGCAACACAGACCAAGATAAAAGTATTCTAACTCACCATGTTCTTGTAACTATTTATTCATCTACCGAAGCATCAAAATTGTTAATCGATAACAAAATTTCAACATTGCATTTGTCAGGAAGTTATTTGGATATTGGTTCCTTAGTACTGTTATACTTATGATGTTCTTGTAATCCAAACTCAAATCAGCCTATCAACGACTACAGTACAGACAATGCCTGAAATGAAAATAGATATTAGTAACTAATGAATTATTAATTAACGGTATTAACATCAATAGCGAGTACATCACTCACCTTCGATTTGCCGACGATATAGTCATTATGGCAGAATCGCTGGAGGACCTTAGTACTATGCTCAATGACCTCCATGGTGTCTCCCAACGGATAGGTCTTAAGATGAACATGGAGAAAACAAAGATCATGTTTAATGTCCATGTCACACCCATGCCGGTAGTTGTTGGGAGCACTATGTTCGAAGTTGTTGTCGAGTACGTTTACCTGGGACAAATAGTCCGACTAGGTAAGTCCAACTTCGACCGAGAGGTCAATCGACGGATTCAACTCGGTTGGGCAGCGTTCGGGAAATTACGACACATCTTCTCGTCAGGTATACCTCAATCTCTGAAAACTAAAGTGTATAACCAGTGCACATAGCCCAACGGATTAGTAAGCTGAAGTGGCAATGGGCCGGCCATATAGCTCGAAGAACCGATAACCAATGGGGAAAAGGTTCTCGAATGGCAGCCTCGATTTGTAGGCCGTGCCACACCAAACTTTCACTACCATACGTTAAAGTAGGGACTAATACATCATTGTGAATTGCCATACGTGCCTTTTTTGACACATTCTGACTCTTCACAATAGAGTGTAGAGCCTCATTTACTTTATTTCCTGCATTCACTCGTCGTTCAATATCCTTATCATATCTCCCATCCCTGCTGAATACACATCCCAAATATACGAACTCATCCACTTGCTCAATTAACTCTCCTTCTATTCTTATTTCACATACCGTTTCGCTTTCTTCTCTTTCAAAAACCATCACTTTCGTCTTACTTGCGTTCACTTTCATTCCCCTTTTCCCTGCTTTTCACAACCAAAAACGATTAACTGGTCCTTATTTAGAACTTGAAACGTAGTACGATTATGAAAAACACCAATCGTTCTGGTTGATGTCTGTTGGAAGAGGTCCTGAAGGCAGTTGTGAAAAATTTGATGTTTTTCGTTATCACTTAATATTTTGTCTGTGAAGTTTCCCAAGTCATAAGAAGATTTATCGTACACATTTTCGAAAAATGTAGAGGTCTGTGGTTCCTCCAAATCCTCTGCTCTTATGTGTGCCATGCAAACATCAACCACGCTCACATGATCGGCGGCGGAAGTATCTCCAACTACAATAATTGTCGAATCTTCTTCAGTAGGCTACTCAACAAACACTGTAGTTACCACATTATTTAAGTCACTATCAATAGAAATATTTTGTCCAAAAGTACTTGCAGAAGGCTGACTAAAAAACTTGTCAATTTTGAGCAATTTTTGTTTACTATCTTCTCTTTCTTGGCGTTTTTTGCTGTTTATAAGCACTACTGGGTTTCTTCTTTTTTATCCATAATTTTAGTTTTTAATAAGCAAAAATAAGTTGCTTTTTCTCTTGTGTACTGCATAAAGGAATTTCCCAGTAGCTGACTCGCGCTGACACTGCCGCTGCCGCTGCCACTGCCCGACGATCTCTCAAATGTCGGTTTTTCGTGTGGAAGTCAAAGGACGGACAGGGCGAGCGGCAGTGAGTGTTCACATTCAGCTCCATCGCTCACTTCGCGCCAAGCGCCTGGATGAACGGGCGTGCGTGCCGTCTTGTTATTAAATAAGTGCGATCTACCAAAATGCCTTTCGAGTGGAATAATGAAAATACAATAAATAATTTATCGTCCGATAAAACTGCTGGAATCAGAAAAAAGTATCTATTATAGTAAGTATCAAAGCATAACAAGACAACTAAAGCTTAGTATTAGTTAATCACTAACTTAGTCACTAAACTAACAAGTTAACTTAATAGATATTATTTAACAACAAAATTTACTAAAAGTAAACAGTATCGCAAAAAGACTTAGGTAAAGTATTTTTCAATTTGTGACACAAAAGATCTTAAGAGTTGCTAAATAAAATCTTCTCGGAATTTGTAAAGTTCCACAAACAAAGAATGTATTTGATTAAAACTACTTTTACGGATTTTATCGCGTTTATTTTTACTTTTTATTTACTTTTATTTTTTAATTCCCGACGTTTCGGGCGCTTTCCAGCACCCATGGTCACGGGGGACTGAGATGACTGACGTCCCGATGTCATTGTTAAACCCGGAGTACCTTCAGCTTTTTGAATTATTTTTTATGGTCCGATCTATGCAAAATGAACTGACTATGTCCTGAGGTCTTGCAGTTGTATACTTTAGTTTAGTTTTAATTTTATTGATTATAGGATCCCAAGCAGGTGGTAGTACCCAGCCTCCTTCTCTATTGAAATTAGGATGTTTTTTTAATTTCAATAGCCTCACGTATCATCCTTGGTAGAAATCGGTGTTCTTTCGCGAGGATTTGTGGTCTATCAAATCTGATGTAATGGTTGGGTCCGTCTAGGATATGATCACAAACTGCAGACTTCCCGGAACGTTGATGCTTCACATCAGCTATATGTTCTTTTACGCGGGTCCTAATTGATCTTTTTGTTTGTCCTATATAAGTATATAGGACAAACAAAAAGATCCTATATACTGCTTGGGATCCTATAATCAATAAAATTAAAACTAAACCCAAGCATACCACTGCAAGACCTCAGGACATAGTCAGTTCATTTTGCATAGATCGGACCATAAACAATAATTAAAGAAGCTGAAGGTACTCCGGGTTTAACAATGACATCGGGACGTCAGTCATCTCAGTCCTCCGTGACCATGGGTGCTGGAAAGCGCCCGAAACGTCGGGAATTAAAAAATAAAAGTAAATAAAAAGTAAAAATAAACGCGATAAAATCCGTAAAAGTAGTTTTAATCATGTATAGTGTTCGCGTAAATATAAGAAATCATTAAAGAATATATTTAAAAAAAAATAATGGGTTCCGAACGACCTAAACAACTAAACATCAGTTACTGCATATGTCAATTCGCCTGCCAAGTCAAGTTTGACGCTTAACGTAAATCCTCTTTACAGAGGAGAATTTCGTGTCAGCAGTGGACTTCCTGACCTCTATATATACATATACGCAGTCAGCTTTAACGTGTCAATGAAGAATCAGAACTGATTATTATACCCAACTCGCAAACCTATGAAAAATTTAATGTCAATTGGTCGCTTTACCTTTAGTTAAACGTCGATATTCAATTAAACGGCTAAAAGAAGTTATAAACCAAAACGTAATAGCCTACTTTTAAGAATATAACGGGAAAGAGGACGGAGGTTCCTTGATCGGAAGATACTTAGATTATGCTCGAAGAAACTTAAATATCCAGAGGTCTTGAGGATCGCACTGTACTTCCTGCTTTTGTGAAACGGTACTTCCTACTTTAAATATAAAAGAAATAATAATGTTGCATCTCTTTGCATTTTCATTCGCGTATACCATGGAGAGTGCTCTGAGGATCATCTGGATGCTTGGCGGTCCACCACTGTACGTTTCAAAAGGAGTTTTCTTCCGCGTACGACCTCTCTGTGGAATAGTTTACCACCGGCGATTTTTCCGGACCGATGCGACCTGGGGACCTTCAAGAAAAGAGCTTACTCCTTTCTAAAGGGCCGGCAACGCACCCGCAATTCTCCTGGTGTTGCGGTTGTTCATGGGCGGCGGTAGTCACTTAACATCAGGTGAGCCGCATGCTCGTTTGCCCCCTCTTCTATATAAAAAAAAAAACAAAAATAAAGAAACAAAAATTGAAAATAAAGAAAACCTGCATCTTTCATGGCGCAGGTTCAGCCTTACATGGAATACTATTACCATCTCTGGGCCGGGGCTCTCCAGTACTAGCTCCTTCCACTTGACCACATACAGTGCAGAGTGTTTTGAATCGTCGACGACCGATTCCTCAGCAATCGGCTCGATTCAGATGTTGCATCCCTTTGCATCTTCTATCGCACATACCCCGGGGAGTAATCTAAAGAAATTGTTGGATTAATCCCAGTCGCCGAATTCCACGAACCCCCTTCCCTGCGTGCTTCCGTAGCGATAAGACGCGTCAGTGGATCAAGAAAAATAATCATTTTCAAATAGTTAATTGTTCGAAAATATTAGGAGCGCATAACGTATCACACTCAGATCCGTATTACTGTGTACCCATTATGCTTGTGTGATATAAATAAAAGTGAGCAGTTAACATAGTACGTTCGTGGATTGTGTTTGTGAGAGTGAAATAGATATACATCTGTGTATGTATTTATACTGTGTCTGTACTAAGTGCAAATTATACGTATTAGTTCTTCTGCCGCCCTGGTATTATTTGACAACTAGCTAACAGTAACGTAATGTATCGTACAACGCCTCGCTCTGACTCGGAGCCTCTAACATGTCTTTTATCTAGCGATAAAAGACATGTTACATGCAGGATAAAGCGCAAGCGCGATGACGAGCAAACCCATTACATTAATATAAAGGACTATTGGACGAAATCAAAGAAATGTTGTCATCAAATATTAAATAAAAAAAATACTGCAACAAGAAGCAAAATATATTCAATTGATAAGTCCATTAAAGATATAATTTTATCTAACCAATCAAAAGAAAACAAACTATCTTCGTTGGAAAACACCTTAAAAGAAATAAAAGATCAAAATGTTGATATTTTTAAGTCACTTGAATTCATATCGAGTAAATATGGGGAAATGCGAGAAAAAATGGAGATCTTAGAAGCTGACCGCAAGGCTAGCTTGAACTGCATCAGAACACTAGAAGACAGGATTGACGGCTTGGAGCGTAAAGCTCGATCGTGCAGTATTGAAATGAGAAATGTTACCCAAAATCAGCCAGAACTTAAGTGGTATCTCCAGAATATCGTAAGAAAGGATTGCACGGAGCTCAATGTCTCAGTTGAAGATAGAGAGATACGGGATATTTTTAGGCTTAAATCTAAGTCTAAAGCGTCTACGCCTAACCCTATAATAGTTGAATTTGCCAACGTCAACATAAAGGAGGAAATTCTTACCTCAATGAAAAAGTATCCAACAATTTCTTTAGATTACTCCCCGGGGTATGTGCGATAGAAGATGCAAAGGGATGCAACATCTGAATCGAGCCGATTGCTGAGGAGTCGGTCGTCGACGATTCAAAACACTCCGCACTGTATGTGGTCAAGTGGAAGGAGCTAGTACTGGAGAGCCCCGGCCCAGAGATGGTAATAGTATTCCATGTAAGGCTGAACCTGCGCCATGAAAGTTGCAGGTTTTCTTTATTCTCAATTTTTGTTTCTTTATTTTTGTTTTTTTTTTATAGAAGAGGGGGCAAACGAGCATGTGGCTCACCTGATGTTAAGTGACTACCGCCGCCCATGATCAACCGCAACACCAGGAGAATTGCAGGTGCGTTGCCGGCCCTTTAGAAAGGAGTAAGCTCTTTTCTTGAAGGTCCCCAGGTCGCATCGGTCCGGAAAAATCGCCGGTAGTAAACTATTCCACAGAGAGGTAGTACGCGGAAGAAAACTCCTTTTGAAACGTACAGTGGTGGACCGCCAAGCATCCAGATGATCCTCAGAGCACTCTCCATGGTATACGCGAATGAAAATGCAAAGAGATGCAACATTATTATTTCTTTTATATTTAAAGAAGTACAGTTTCACAAAAGCAGGAAGTACAGTGCGATCCTCAAGACCTCTGGATATTTAAGTTTCTTCGAGCATAATCTAAGTACCTTCCGATCAAGGAACCTCCGTCCTCTTTCCCGTTATATTCTTAAAAGTAGGCTAATACGTTTTGGTTTATAACTTCTTTTAGCCGTTTAATTGAATATCGACGTTTAACTAAAGGTAAAGCGACCAATTGACATTAAAATTTTCATTGGTTTTGGGTATAATAATCAGTTCTGCTTCTTCATTGACACGTTAAAGCTGACTGCGTATATGTATATATAGAGGTCAGGAAGTCCACTGCTGACACGAAATTCTCCTCTGTAAAGAGGATTTACGTTAAGCGTCAAACTTGACTTGGCAGGCGAATTGACATATGCAGTAACTGATGTTTAGTTGTTTAGGTCGTTCGGAACCCATTATAATTTTTTAAAATACATTCTTTGTTTGTGGAACTTTACAATTTCCGAGAAGATTTTATTTAGCAACTTTTAAGATCTTTTGTGTCACAAATTGAAAAATACTTTACCTAATTCGTTTTGCGATACTGTTTACTTCTAGTAAATTTTGTTGTTAAATAATTTCTATTAAATTAACTTGTTAGTTTAGTGACTAAGTTAGTGATTAACTAATACTAATCTTTAGTTGTCTTGTTATGCTTTGATCAAATTGTTTAGTGTTAGCTTTTTATTAATATTATCATTGTAAATTAGGTATATTCCTTTGCAATCAGTCAACTGTTAGGTGATGTATAATATTATGTATTGAGTCGTATTTTGTAGTTAGTCTGTTTTATATTCTATATTTTTTAAGTATTTTATAACATATTATTATATTTTTTATTTATTTAAGACATATTATTATATATTTATTATTATTATGTTACATATGTCGGATGATGAATCCTTTTATTCTGCCCATGCAAAGATGTTTTATAGGTACATAAAAAACGTGCCCATGATTCAGATATTCAGATATCTACAACAATCGGCTTCTGTTTTGTCGCGATATGACCTTATATACATCATAAAAGCTGATTTCTCCTAAGCACAATCCCGTCGTACTATACATTCGGAACTTCTCTAGAATAGATTTTGATAATTTAAAAGTAACGCCTATCGTATTGACTTAACCTCTTTATTTAAATCAACTTGTATTGCCGCTAAAGTCTCCATCTTTAATAATATAGTTCTTAGTCTGTCCAACAATCATGCTCCTAAACATCAGGTAAGAGTGAAGTATCCACCAGTCCCGTGGATGACTAAGGTCGTAAGGTTAGCAATGACCAGGTGAGATCGGCATTTATGAAATTTAAGAAGCATCTTACACAGGAGAGCTGGGATGGAGAGAAAAAAGATGCAATCAGATGGTACGAAATGCTAAACGCCGTTATATCTATAGTAATATTACAAACTCTTCAAACGCTGATGTGTAGAAATTTCTTAAAACACTAAGTATTAGTAAGGCCATTACATCTGACCGTGGTCTATCAATTACTCTGATTGAAATAAATCATCACTTTATTTCTACTTCTCCTTTGGATCCCACAGTTCGTTCTACAAGAATAGCTTTCATTTAATCCATGCCTTCTCCTCCCTGTCACTTCTTACCTGTGACTGAGTATGAGATCCAGAAATCATTCATCGCCATTATCATTCGTCATCAAAAAATACCACACAGCACGGTCCTGAGCCACCTGCATCCATCGAATTCCTGCATGTATTATCAGGTCGTCACTCCTAGTGGGGGGACGGCCTACAAATCGAGGCTGCCATTCGAGAACCTTTTCCCCATTGGTTATCGGTTCTTCAAGCTATATGGCTGGCCCATTGCCACTTAAGCTTACTAATCCGTTGGGCTATATCGGTCACTCCGGTTCTACCGCAGATATCCTCATTCCTAAGTTTATAACGCAGAGAAACTTCGAGCATAGCCCTCTCCATAGCTCGCTGAGCAACCTAAAGCTTCCTCATACGGCCAGCAGTGAAGGACCACGTTTCAGATCCATAAGTCATCACTGGCAACACGCACTGGATGTACAATCTAGTTTTGAGGTTTTGAGGTATAGATGTGTCGTAATCTTCCGAACGCTGCCCAGCAGAGTTGAATCAGTCGATTGATCTCTCCGTCAAAGTTGGACTTGCCTAGTCGGACTACTTGTCCCAGGTAAACATACTCGACAACAACTTCGAGCTTAGTGCTCTCAACAACCACCAACACAGGTGTGACATGGACCCCCCCGAACGGGTTCCCGCCTTGCCATGCGGGGGGGCTTAGTAGCCGTGGCTTGGTCAGCCGCGGTGAACAAAGATCAAATCAAATCAGTTTATTTTGTGAACATAGGTTATTTTACAGATCTCAATATATACATAGTAAAATACAAGGTTGCTCTATGTCCCGCCAGTGGGTATAAAAAATATAAAATAATAATTGCTTAACATTTTTTCTCTTCTGATGTCAGTTTCTAATTGAAATAATTAAATAATGTATATTAATAATAAGAAAATTTTAAAGATAATAAAGTTATAGTACAATATAAAGTAAAGTAAAGTTACAGCCTATATACGTCCCACTGCTGGGCACAGGCCTCCCCTTTTGAGAGGGTTTTAGGGCAAGGAAGTGTCCGCCGCGCTGCCCCAATGCGTGTTGGCGAACTTCACATGTCTTCGAAATATTTTTTTTCTTATTTTTCAGACATGCAGGTTTCCTCACGATGTTTTCCTTCACCGCCGAGCACGTGGTATATCAACACTTAAAATTGCAATTAACAATTTCATTGGTGCCGGCGGGGATCGAACCCGGGTTTCTCGCGTTCTGTTATATTTACAGCGAGCGCTAACCATCTGAGCTACCACGGCTCTTATAGTACAATATAGCATATAATAATTGTCATCATTTTGTCTAATTGTCATCTAGTATTAATTGGCACATGTCATGATAGGTATACATATATTCAATGTAGTATTTTAATGTTAAAATGTTAAAATGTGTCGTCGAATGTGTGAATTAATCTAAAGAATAATAGACTTTTTCATTTAGTAAATCAAAAAGTTTACGTTTATAAATATTAATGTTGTCACAATCTCTAACGTAGGTACTTAGGTATTTGTTATATACTTTTGGTGCCATTGCATATATACTCTTCTGTAATAAAACGGTTCTACTTGGTACTAAATGAAGCTTATCTGAGCGACGTTGACTTTCTACGAATTTATACATGTTAATATTACGTTTTACAAAAATGCTTGTTTCATAAATATATAATGAGGTAAATCTTAGAACTTTTAATTTTTGAAAATGCGGCTTACAAGTGTTGGTGCTTTTTAAACTACAGATCGCACGTAGACACTTTTTGTGCGATGAATACTTCGCGAATGTTGGGTGCATTGCCCCAAAATATAACGCCACATCTCAGGATTGAGGCGACATAGCCATGGTATGCTGCTAATAGTGCTCTCTGGTTTGCAATTTTTCCCAACATATAAAGAACGTATGCAAATTGGTGCAATTTTTTACAAATATAATCAATTTGAGTTTTCCACGACATATCATTGTCTATAGGTGGTCCCAAATTTTTTTTAATCTGTGTTTCTTTTACGTCTTGGACCATATATTTAATGTGTAGATTTATTGTGGTCCCTTTTTATTTGAAATGTCATTATTTTCGTTTTGTCCAGATTAATTTTTAGGTTGTTTTCTTTCAACCAGTCAATAATTGATATAAGACTAATATTAATTTCACCCTCAATTTCATCATAGTTATTACTGTTATAAATTACAGTGCTGTCATCGGCAAATAACGAAATTTGGTATCTTGTACAGTTTGGAAAGTTATTTATATAAATGATAAAAAGGAGAGGGGCAAGGACTCCACCTTGAGGAACTCCGTATTTAAGCAATTGTGTATCAGAAGAGTATATTTTTTCGGTTTTCGACTTGATATCTATTCGGGTAATTTGTGTTATTTGTTTTTCTGCCTTTTAAATAAGATTTCATTACACTATGCACGTTTCCCCTAACTCCATAGATGTATAATTTGTCTAGTAGTAAATTATGATCTACATAATCGAAGGCCTTAGTCATATCCATATACATTGCCACAGCTGGTTTCCTACTATCCATGTTCCGGTATATTTTCTCTAGAAAGTTGTAGATAGCCATATTGGTATTTTTGTTTTTTCTGAAGCCCATTTGTTCTTGGCATAAGATATTATTATTTTCCAAATAGTTGTATTGTCTAATATCAATAACTTTTTCGAATATTTTAGAGAAAGTCGATAGTAACGCCACCGCTCTATAATTACTAACATTTGTTCTATCTTCTTTTTTATATAAAGGCTTAATGATTGCAATTTTCAGGTTTTCTAGAAATGTTCCACTTTGGATGCATTTGTTTATATTATTACATA